AAGTTGCCCAGGCGGGTCTCCAACCCGCGGGCTCAGGCAATCCACTCACCTCAGCCTCCCAAAGGTGCGGGATTACGGGCTGAGCCACCGAGCCCAGCTAATTTTTGATTTATTGTAGAGCTGAGGTCTCGCCAAGTTGCCCAGGCGGGTCTCGAACCCGCGGCTCAGGCAATTCACTCACCTCGACCTCCCAAAGTGCTGGGATTACAGGCTGAGCCACTGGGCCCAGCCCCCACATCTTTAAAATGAAATGAAATGAAATAAAATGAAATGAAGCTACAGGAGAAAAATGATAATTTGATAAATTCTGATTATTTTTATTATTACATGGTATGGGGAGCCTTTAAACATTGTAAAACGTGGAAATGTAGCACAATCGTGTTTGTGTTTTGAAAAGGTCCTTCTGTGACAGTAGGGTGAAGAATGGAATGGATGATAGCAAAGAAACAAGTGTTTCTAATATGTTGTTTTTTATTACCAGGTTTTGGGAAAGGATCACCCCGATGTTGCTAAGCAGTTAAATAACTTGGCTTTACTGTGCCAGAACCAGGGCAAGTATGAAGAAGTAGAATATTATTATCAAAGAGCCCTTGAGATCTACCAGACCAAATTGGGACCCGATGACCCCAATGTAGCCAAGACAAAAAATAACCTGGTATGTTGACAGGCATGGGGCTAGGGATTTGGCCAGGAGTGTGTTCTTGCCAAAGTCCAATGTTTTATAATTTAACCTGTAGTTATATGTGCGTTACCTATATATGAAGCCTACTAAATATTTTATTTTATTTTAAGGCATCCTGCTATCTGAAACAAGGAAAGTTCAAGCAAGCAGAAACACTGTACAAAGAAATTCTCACTCGTGCACATGAAAGGGAGTTTGGTTCTGTAGATGGTAAGAAACATATTCCTGTTTCTTAGCAGATTTAGTTGTATAATGCATTAAAAACAGCGACTTCCACCTTGAAGTTGGTAATACCCAGGTCATCACAGTATTTTCAAGATAGAGTTTAATTTGAATTTTAGGAACAGTTTTCCAAATAGCACTTAGAAGAGAAGACATAGGCCAGGTGCAATAGCTCACATCTATAATTCCAGCAGTTGTGGAGGCCAAACGGGAGGGTTGCTTAAACCTGAGAGTTTGAAACCAGCCTGGGCAGCATAGCAACATCCTGTGGTGGAAGGTCTGGACTGTGGTGAGCTGTGCTTGTGCCTCTGCACTCCAGCCTGGGGACAGAGTGAGAACCTGAATTAAAAAAAAAAAATTAAAGAAAAGACAGGTTGGGTGTTCATTCATTTATTTACTCATTGGTGAATGCCTCTGTGAGTCACTAAGTTAAGCAGTTTAAATCTGTGACCTCATTTAACTTTCATAGCAGTCCTATGAATTAGTTTGAACATTACCCTGTTTTAGAAGCAAGAACACCACAGACTAAGTGATTTGCCCAAGGTTAGGTAGCTGAGAAGTGTTTAGTCTGGGATTGGAGCATCAAAAGCCAGTGGTATTCTCAGTGCAGAAACCTGGAAAACTCACATAGAGATAGGAACATGGGAATCACCCCAGTTCACTTTTAACATTGTTAATGTCTTTCCTTCCTTCTGTGTCTGTTGATTTACAGAATTGAAACTATACTCTCTGTATGGTCATGTAGACTGCTTATTTTCTTGATGTTTTAAACATTGTTTTTAAGATTGCATTTTCCTTTTTGGCTTGGGTTTGTGGGTTGTCTAGAAACTCAGGTGAGTGGTATGTTTTACTGTTCTAAGAAGTTGAGACCTTAAAGGAGTACTGATTTGTATCTTTTCTACCTTTGCTTGCAACATCTTACTTTTTCTTAGATTTTTCTGTGTGCTTTTGCTTAAGGCTCAATACTTCATGGTGCTATTTGAGGATCTGGCACTTAATAAGTTACACTATAGTGCCCTGGAATTTGTTGATATGTCTTGACAGTTGCTCACCCTGTCTAGGTACATTTGTTCTGCGTTCTGTGTGCAAGGCCAGGTGGGAATGAACATCTCTTCTTTGTTGCTTGGTATCTGCTTCCGCCTTCCATAGGTGTTTGCTCCAGTATTGAACTTCAACTGCCCATGTTGGAGAAAGTGATATCTAAAAGGAGCATACAAAAACCAAAACAAAACCTTGCAATCACTGAGGCTTAACAACTTCTAATCTACTTAATGGGCTCTCTTATGCTTTAGTTTATAGTGCAGGTTGAGTATTTCTTATTTGAAGAAAATTTGAAACTTTTTGAGCACTGACTTGACACTAAAAGGAGATGCTCATTGGAGTAGTTCGGATTTTGAATTTTTGGATTTGGGATACTCAACCTGCATGCTATTTTTTTCTCTTCCCTAGATGAAAATAAACCCATTTGGATGCATGCTGAAGAAAGAGAAGAATGCAAAGTAAGAATTTACTATTTTGAGATTTTTCTGAAGTATATGTACTACATTCAAGATATTCATTTGCAATTATTTGCTGTAATTTAGGGAAAGCAAAAGGACGGGACAACGTTTGGCGAGTATGGCGGCTGGTACAAAGCCTGCAAAGTTGATAGGTATGTTTGTTTAGCTGGAAAAAACAAAAAGCAGGGGAAGGCCATTGTGTTCTAAAGGGCAGATGTAAATGACCAAATGTGTAAAGCTCTTTGAAGTGTTATGGTTGTATAATCCCGTGTTTTCCCCAGATTTTCAACTGAAAACCCCTTTAACTTGTAAGGGAGATCATTCACATATACAAACCTCCCCCCATGTAATATGAATCCCGTATCATATGATAGTTTCTGTCAATTAACACTGCTTTGTTCAAGGAGAGCTACCAAACTGAAAGAAAAGGAAGTACCTGCATAGGAAAGGCATGTCTACAGTAGACATAGAGCAGACTCATGCATGTGTACCAGCAGGCCTGGAATAGCCAGCTCTGTCACACAACATGAGGAACACTGACCCCTACACACCAGTCCTTTCTTTATAGCCTGTGGGGCCTGGTGTTCCTCTGGGGAAAATGTAGGCCCTCTGTCATCAGCCCAAGTGCCTCGCCTCCTAAGCCCTGAGCCTGTGCTCACCACCTGCACACACTGTGCCCTGCGAGGCTGCTGTCCTGGGTCTGAGTAGCACACCTTGCCTGCTGTTCTTTCAGTTTTAACTTTCCTCATCCTTTAAGACTGAGCTTACCGGCTGGGTGTGGTAGCTCAAGCCTGTAATCCTAGCACTTTTAGAGGCCGAGGTAAGAGGATTGCCTGAGCTCAGGGGTTTGGGACCAGCCTGGGCAACTTGGTGAGACCTCGTCTCTACAATAAATCAAAAAATTAGAGCTAGGCTTGGTGGCTCAGCCTGTAATCCCGCGCCTTTGGGAGGCTGAGGTGAGTGGATTGCCTAAGCCCGTGGGTTCAAGACCCGCCTGGGCAGCGAGACCTCATCTCTACAATAAATCAAAAAATCAGCCAGGCGTGGTAGCGCATGCCTGTAATTCCGGCTACTTGGAAGGCTGAGGCGGAAGGATCGCCGGAGCCCAGCAGGTCAAGGCTGCGGTGGCCGGGAGCGGCCACTGCACTCCAGTCTGGGTGACAGAGTGAGACTCCAGCTCAAAAAAAAAAAAAAAAATTAGCCACGTGTGGTGGCACGCACCTGTAGTTCCAGCTACTTGGAAGGCTGAGGCAGAAGGATCTCCTAGGTCTAGCAGGTCGAGGCTGTGGTGGCCATGAACGTGCCACTGCATTCCAGTCTGGGCAACACAGTGAGACTACAACTCAAAAAAAAAAAAAAAAAAAAAATCAAACTGAGTTTACCATCATCTGTTTCAGTAAAGCTCTCTGAATCCTAGTTTAGAGTAAACACCTCTCCCCCTGGGTTCTCTGTAGCACTTACTATAACATATTAAATTCACATCTTTTATTTTCCCATTATTGTGTGATTGTCTCAGAGATATGGTGGATAACTTCTTTGTTTCTGTTCCTAAAGTGCCTATCATAAGTAAGAGAAATCTCTCAAAGTACATCTCTTTACTGAAATGGATCTAGGTTTATTTCTAATTTTTTTATAGAACCACTCTATTAAGAATGCAGAAACATTTTTTCTTGGAAAAATAAGCAAAAAGAAAAATAAAAGAGAATGCAGAAACACAGGCATCCTGCCTGCCACCTGCTCACTGCTTCCCACGTGCATGGAGCCTGGTGCTCTGCCCTCTTTCCACTCTGTGCATATCTGCTGTGTGCTGACCTTGTGGAGAGACAGGAGGAAGTGAGCAGTGGCATTTAAAACACTGTCCTCATTACTGTGGACAGACTAGCCTCTGTCTCCAGGGAAAGCATGCTGGTCACCAGACACTCTGCCCAGACATTTCTGTTGGTTTCTATTGACAGAGGGGCTCTGTGAGCACCCCCCATCCTGGACGGAGTACGGAGTTAGCCTGGCCCTCAGGATGTCTACAGGAAGCATCAGGGTCCTGGGAGGCAGGGCTGCTTGAGGTAGAAGAGCTTTTTAGAATCTTACACTCAAAAAAAGTACCAGAGAAAGTTACTCAGACCAAAAAGTTATTCAAACCAAAAACGTAAGCCTGTTAGTCTCTTGGATTATGTGCTGTTGATAGTGGTTACTCTAAAACTTAGATTTAATAGTTCCTGTATATCCTATGCTTTTTTATAGTCCAACTGTTACAACTACCTTAAAAAACCTTGGGGCACTTTATAGACGTCAAGGCAAATTTGAAGCTGCAGAAACATTAGAAGAAGCTGCCATGAGGTCACGTAAACAGGTAAGTCATACTTTTTGTCTTTAAATGAACTTTGAATTTAATGATTCTCTTTTAGGTAACTTTTATTGATTGTTTGATTTAGAAGTAGAAAATCTTAGATGTTTTGGTTGTACCAATAAAGTATATTGTTTAAAAGATCATAAATATGACGTTAAAAGAATGAACAGCAAAAGAGAAACAAGATAAATTGCATTCACCAAATTTAAAACTTGTGCATTTCAGGACACCATCAAGTAAGTGAAAAGACAGCCCACACAATGGGGAAAATATTTGTATTTGTATATCTGATAAGGTTCTAGTATCCAGAGAGAAAGGCAGCTCAGAACAAGCAAAGGACCTGAATAGACATTTCTTTGTAGATGGTCTACAAATGGTCAACAAGCACATGCAAAGATGCTCGACATCTTTAGTCATTAGGGAAATGCTGACTGAAACCATAGTGAGGTGCTACCTCACACGCACTAGTATGGCTATAAAAAACAAAACAAGGCTGGGCTCGGTGGCTCAGCCTGTAATCCCAGCACTTTGGGAGGCCAAGTGGATTGCCTGAGTCCGCAGGTTCAAGACCCACCTGGGCAAGTTGGCGAGACCTTGTCTCTACAGTAAATCAAAAACTAGCTAGGCGTGGTAGCGTGCGCCTGTAGTTCTAGCTACTTGGAAGGCTGGGATGCAAGGATTGCTAGAGCCCAGCAGGTCGAGGCTACAGTGGCCAGGAGCGTGCCACTGCACTCCAGTCTGGGCGACAGAGTGAGACTCCAACTCAAAAAAAAAAACAAAAAAAACAACAAAACAAAACAAATGGGAAATAGCAAGTGTTGAGGAGGAGGTAGAGAAAATGGAACCCTCATGCCTTGCTGGTGTGAATGTAAAGTAAAAATAGTTTGGGATTCATCTGAAAGTTAAACTGGTGATGACCCAGCAGTTCTGCTCCTAGGTGTATACTTGGAAGAACTGCACATGGGCATACACTGTCACTGTTGGAGGCTGTTCTATCTTTCTAGCCCTGCCCTTGCCCGCTCAGAGGAACCATTGTCCTGATTAAGATGTGGTACTTTATCTTCTAGTGAAACTTAAGTATCTCAGAAATACCTCATAAAACTTTAAGTACTAATGGGTCAACCCGTTTTCCCCTTGCCTGGCTCACAGGGTCTTGACAATGTTCACAAACAGAGAGTGGCCGAAGTGCTCAATGACCCTGAGAACATGGAGAAGCGCCGAAGCCGTGAGAGCCTCAACATGGACGTGGTCAAGTACGAGAGTGGCCCTGACGGAGGCGAGGAAGTGAGTATGAGCGTAGAGTGGAACGGGGTAAGTACAGTACACAGCGGGCACGCACTCAGGGCGGCGCCCCGGCGCTAGCCACGCCTCTCTCCTGTCTCGTGTGCTAGACGTTCTCCTTTTCTCAAATTAAGTGCCAGTTAAGCTTTCTGTAAGTTCTTCACTTCTGCTAATGTTTAAAGTGGTAATTTTCTTCTCCTTAGGAATCCATGAAAGCTGTTTGGCTTAACTCTGAGCACTTAAATGCTGATTGAGTGTCCTGGCTATTTAAAGCATATTCCATAATCCAGTTTCATTTTAATATTGGGCTCAGTGTGGCAGAGAAAACTAACCTGCTTCTTTAACTTACCCATTTCTTTGCTAACTCTGGTGCTTCTAACTTCACTGACCAGGCTGCTCCAGCTTTTGTTAGAATGAATTAAAATGCTTCTTTGAAGGGAGATGCTGTTTAAATGGAATTTGTTTTTAGAAAAGAACAGCTCAAAAACAAGAACTTTAGGGTGGCTGTTCTTCTTGATGTCCACCTCAGCCCTGGATGTCACGTGCTTCCACTCAAGAGAGCGCCCAGCCAGTCAGCACTTGTCATAGCTCCCTGGCCGAGGTTTTTGGGTCTGGGTGGGCTCTGCCTCTGGGTCTCACTAGTTTGCCTCTGGGAATTCTTACACTGCTGTTTATCCAGTGGTTGCCAAGGAGCATGTAATCTTCTGGACATTGTCTCTCTGGTGAATTTTTAAACACATGGAATTTTTTTTTTTTTTTCATCTCTGGTATCTTTGAAATTTTGCTTTTATCAGGGAGAGTTGAATGCAGAACTTAGGGGCATGTGGAATTTTTTGAAGTTGCAGTAGTACAGTTTGATTAGGTGTAATTGTACAGCTGTTTTTGCCAGGTTGTAGTTTGGGGCTTTTTTATAATCTTACTTTTTGAATCTAGTTATTCTTTAGGATTTTCTACAGTTGTAGCAATTTGGTAGGAGTTAGTATTCTAAATAAACATTTTGTAAAAAATGTTAGTAGCCAAAATTTAGGGAGAACATTCTCTCGACTGTCTTTATCTGGCAGCTTTCTTGCTTTGGTTTTTTTCCTGTGCCAAGACAACCAATCAGCATCTGCTTTGCCCATTCAACCTGTTGGGCAATAGCCCAAAACTGAAAGAATGACTGAGCCCTTCTGTTGCCCGCGTTCTGTCACAACTGTGTACTGTACTCTTCTCTTGGTTGCTGTTGTACCTGCATGCTTTGTGTAGAAGGCCGAGTCCTTTCTCCAGTCTTTAGAAGCCAGGGTGCAGATTTTGATACTCTTGAATCAAGTTCTAGAGGAACTTTTCTCTTGAGACAGTATTTCTAGGTCCATATTTCTAAGAAATCATGTAATAAAATTGTTGGTAGTTTAGAGTTCTGTTATTGTCTTAAAGATGGACTTGAAGATGAGACGAGATGCTTCTGTCCACTGGGGAGGGCATGTGGGGTCCGTGGACTGGAAGTACAGTTGAAATGGGTGAAAGCAACTGCTCCTGGACACGTGCCAACTTCCTATCCCATGCTTCCTTCCTCCTTTGGACACATGACACGTAGGCCATGCATAGGTTGTGCTTCAGATGTGATCTTTTCCTGAGCAGCATGGCTTTGATACAGTTCATCCCAGAGCACAGAGGCCATGGGTTGGCCTCCTGAAACAGCCTATGGATCTTGTCATCCAGCACAGTGGTTCCTAAACACACTTTGAGCCAGTGTAGGGAGTCTCTTTTTCACATGGAGACTTGGATCAGGTGAGAGAATTCTCTGAGGGGCAATGAGGCCGCTTTGAGTCTTCACAGGAAGGCCTTGGACCTCAGGCTTAATCAACTTTTGATTTTAATTTTATTTTCAGAGCACACTCTGATTGTTTTTTAAAAGGCAGTGATGGCAGTATGCACACTTAGGTGTTTCTTTTTAATCAACTTTATTGAGGTATAAATACATGCAGTAAAAGGAGCCTATTTTAAGTGTCAAGTTTGAGTTGTACATTAACACATTGTGGTCCGGCACATAACTTTGTCTTTGTACAGATGTTAGAATAAAGTTTCTTATGCTGTTTCTGCTTAAATGGAGATTCCCTGAGATTGCAAATGGTGTAAAGACTGTTGCCATTTGCAGTCACTTATTTGTGAGCATTCAAATTTTTTTCAGTATTATGCAATATCAAGATAAAATAGAAAATAAATTGGGTGTTAAGGATATGTAAAGACTATACCCCTCATCTCTAACTTTATATTTCAAATTTTGTTTTATAAAGATAGCTTCGTTGTTCTTACTTTATTAGAATAACTTGTTATTTAGATTTTATTTTATATTGGGGTTCTACATAAGATTTTAATTTTTAAAAAGGATTTTAACACCTTTTTAAAACATTGAAAATTATAACCATAGGAAATCACATTGTGTTTTCCTGTGCGAGTTCCAGCTTCAGCAGGGTGACTGCAGGGAGTGGGCATGACATATCCACACGATATTGGGCTTGATTTTTTTCCATGTTCAGAAATGACACGTAAAAGGGTAATGTGGTCAAGTAAAAGGCAAGCTAGAAAATAATAATTGCCCCCTTGTAACCCTTGGGCATTGGTGTCACACACAATTCAGGAGAAAAGCAAGGTAGTGAGTGACATGTTAATAATTCAGAGGGAGTGTTTGAATCAAATTCTTGGCATGTAGGTCACTTGTTCAGAGAAGGACAGTTGTGTTCCTTGAAATATGTGTTGTAGAGATCAGGATTATACTGCATGACACTGTCATGTCCTTGACTCAGTCTTGTATAAAGTGTGCAGATCTGGAGGCCTGATGGTCTGGCTCTCTTATGACCTGAAGCGCGACTGCTTTGTGCACACGAATCCCTTCCTGGATAAAATTGGGTTCCTTTAATCTCTCTCCACGTGGTTTCATGTTCTCTGTGTGATGTGCATGTGTCAGTTACAGCACGGGGTGCCCCCAGGATGTGGGCCCCTTGGGCTGTCTCGTTGTTGAGTGGTTGTCTTTGTAGTGTCCCACGAGACATGCAGCACCACATCACACACCCCACGTTCTGGGGGGAGCCTGAGCTTCCAAAGGAGTCCCCACCTCTGCCTCCCAGTCTTGTCATACTGCTCCCATGTTTTGATTTCTACAAGTTTTTAATACTCTAAATTCTTACCCAGGAGTATTGAGGAATAGGGTATATTGCTAATTAGAAATAGATTAATTTTTATTTTTAAAAAATTACACTAGGGAGACAACTAGAATAAAAAACACCAAGTCATCTGAAATCCTACTGTACATAGATAATAGTTACTGCTGTACTTTTTTTTTCTGCTGTACATTTTTTAACCAATACATTATACTATTAATCTATTCAGAAACCCACCTTTGTAATGTGAACATTCTATCATGGCAGTGTAAGAAGACAGACAGTTTTTGAAAGTGTTAAAATGCAGTGAAACCTCCCAGGCCCTCCAGCCCACATTGAATAGAAATCTGCCTGAGGTTGAGGGTGACTGATCGGCCTTCTCCCAGGTTCTCATGGGCAGAGGTGCTCAGTTGGTGAGTGCAGAGATGGGGGCAGATTGACCTGGAAGTGGGCAGACCTACTCCACTGCCAGCCAGGAACACGACCTGGCCACCAGGAACCAGGTACTAATCCAGGTCAGCGGAGGCCTACGGGAGAAGGAGGCAGCTGCCTGGACCCTGAGCCTGGTACTCATTTGGCCCCATTGCCTAGCTGTCAGCTTGCCATTTAACAGCTGTGTGTGTGTGTGTGTGTGTGTAACACATGAAATATTTTTGGAATCTGAGTGAGATGAATCTTCCATATTCGGCCAAGTATCCAGTTCAGGTGTTTTATAAATAACACTACTGCAGTGTGGCCTTGAATTTTGAAATAAATAGCAAGAGCTGCACTATTTATGGAACTATGTTAGCATCTTAGTGTTCTTTTTCTGAAGAGCAGCAAGAAGTCATGTTTTCTTGTCCTCCCAACATTCTTGAGGTGTTGGTAACAAGTTTTATTTTTCCATTTTAAAGATGAGAAAAATGAAGCTCGGGCTGGTTAAATGACTTGCTCAGCGTCCCATGGTGAGTCCGAGCGGGCAGGGCGCAGGTCCCCGCTGTCTGGTGCTTCTGTCGAGACCGTCGGCTTTCCAATCTGGCAGGACCCAGGATGCAGTGCTGCCTGTGGAAATTCATTCTTTTTTGGATTATCAACTGCATGTTTACAATGTGCTGTAGACTTTTAAAGTCAGTAGTTTCTTAAAGTTTCTGAAATGAAAAAAATGTGTTTTTAAGAGAATGAAAGTCAAAACCTGTAGCCTTTATTTTGGTCTTTCTAGATGTTTTTCATTGCAGAATCTCCTTTATGTAGTTATTTGTAAAGCCTTTTACACTAAGTATCAAGGAGATTTCTAACATAATACTAATACGTGTTCTAAAAATGTTGACTTGTACTTTGATGACTCTTAGGAGTGACCAGTCTAGATTCTGTAAAATGCACCATGAGGTCCAGCACTTGTGTCATACTGGGCTGGTAGAACCAGGTAGAAGGTAACCTCAGGCAAAAGCCACTCAAGGGCTGCTAAGGCTTGTGACCTAGAAATACTGTAACCCAAGCTGTGCTAGGTGGAGCCACTGCCCTTTCCTCACCACGGTCTCACGTGGGTTTTCTCTCTCGTTTCTGTCTGACAGGCCTAGCCGCCCCGTGTGACTCTCACACTGTCTCCTGCATGACGGGCGGCCTCTCCAGCTCTCCTTCTCTCTCCAGCGCTGCCCGCTGTGTCTAGCAGTCCCCTAGGATCTTGTCCGAGCTGCACCTCTCTGTGACTGGCCATTCCTTTCGGTGCTGCTGTCCTTTTTGGGGGGTTCCTGATTTCTGTATACATGTAGCTTTGCCAGATATGTACTTAGTAATATAAACTGTATTAATAAAAAATCCATTTACTGTGTAATACACAAGTTTAAAAATTAAGAGCGATTAGCTGTTCACTCTGATAACAGGTAGTTAAGTGTCACACAAGGTGTTATTGCAATGGCATGACGGTGACCTGTTGACATAACTAAGCTGTAAAAGCAAGGCATGTGCCGCACGTGCTCCGTGGTACTTAGAGCCATGGGAGCCCCTGGACTCTGGGTCTCCCTAGGATACGCCCCAGTAGCATTTGCTGTGTAGTCTGTGTGTGAAAATTGGGCATTCTGCTTTTCTCTACTAATCTTTAAGTGCTCAGTGATTTGTGTATTTGTGTCTTTCTAACTTCTAATAAACTCACTCCAACTGACCTGTGTCTCAGTGTCTGTCTGCTGATAGATCTTCTCACTCTTCTGTGGACTGCAGCATGATATTGCTTTTAGAAGTAACAGGGGGACTGTTAATCTCACTAAACGACTCATCTGAGAAAAAAATGTTGCTATGTATACATTCTTTTCACTCTGCATTTTTGGTTTTCATGTCCTGATACTGCCAAGTATTTCACTGACTGATGTCTGAACCAAGATGAGGGCAGGGCTCTCTTACCCACTTCCTCCAAGGCGTCTAAGGATTTTTAGTTATCTGCATAGAATGAGCATTTTATTTAATTTTCTAACCACACTTATAATCAACATTTAATGAAACTATTCTGTAAAATTTACTGAAGGAAACAGTACATCTAAATATTGAATTTAGATAACATTGTGAATGGAATTGCCTCTGTCAGACGTAAATGTTTTGGGTCCTGTACTGTTATCTGAACCGGATGCTTACATATTTATTAAATGTGGAATTTGATTTTGGTGATATTCCTAGAAGCTTCTTTAATTTTCTTGTAACTTTGTGTTGTCTTTTGTCTCAGAATAGTAATGTAAATCATTTTCCTTTTGGGATGTGATTAATTTTGTTTGAATGAGCTTCTTCATGTTAAAAGGTTTTCATGGTCATTGGATTATCGTTAATGAACTTTAAAATGGACAGTTTCTATGTAAAGCATGTGTGTACATGGCATATACATGAACACAAAAGCGAGCATATATGTTGTGACACTGGTGGTTTCTTCAGGCCATGGATCCCCAGGGACTCCTTCGGTTTTGACCGAGAGTGTGCTGGCTGTCCCTCTAGTGGGTGGGCGGGAGAGCACCTGCAGCTTCACGTTTGTTCACATTTCTTTCAGGATGGCACTGGATCTTTAAAGCGCAGTGGTTCCTTTAGCAAACTCCGGGCTTCCATTAGACGCAGCAGTGAGAAGCTGGTTAGGAAGCTGAAGGGAGGAAGTTCACGAGAGAGTGAGCCAAGGAACCCTGGGTAACTATCTCTCCCAGCTCTCCTCTCTCCCTGCACATGGCCGCCGGCCGGTTCCCTTTGTGGCACAGCCATTCTCACCCACTGACTTCAGAAAAGACATTCCAGTTTGTTTCCTGCATTTTAGCAATGGAATGGTTTAATAGTTTCCATCTAACTTTTTCCCAGAATAGGTGGAGAAATAATGGCGAAACTTCCTGTTGTGGCTGAAAGGGCCAATGCTTTTAAGAAATTTATGGAATTCTTTGATCTTGTTACATGTTCAAAGGAAGCCTAAACAGTGAAACATGGGAATTTACTATTAAAACACTGAGCATTTTAAACTTGTTTACTCTAGATATGCATTATTTATTTTTAAAATTAGCATTATCCTATAAAACTTCAATCTTTTAAAACCAGATGTTAGCTATGACTATATTAAATCTCATACAGTTATTGCCAGGGGGAGAAAAAATGGTTTTATATAGAAGACTCACAATTTTAAAATCTTCTTACAAGGAGATTTTCAAAACCTTAGGTTTTATATATCTTTGAAAAAATACTTGTGACTGAGTGCAGTGGCTCATACCTGTAATCCCAGCACTTTGAGAGTCAGAGGTGAGAGGCTTTCCTAAGCCTAGGGGTTTGAGACCAGCCTGGGCAACTTGATGAGACCTCCTCTCTACAATAAATAAATAAATTAGCTGGGCATGGTGGTGCCCGCCTGTGGTTCCAGCTACTTGGTGGAAGGCTGAGGCAGAAGGGTCACCTGAGCCCAGCAGGTCGAGGCTGGGGGACAGAATGAGACTCCAACTCAAAAAAAAAAAGTTTGAGTCATGGGTCTGTTACCTTGATGACAAATTGCCCCCCATCTGGGTCACCTCTGGTGCAGCTGTCCTGGTCTTAGATGGTCCTCCTGGATACATTTCTCATGGAAGTAGCTTTTGCCAGCTGTTCTGTTCTGTGTAACTCTGACTTCCCAAGTAGCACCTACTTTTATTGTATTTATTTATTTTGAGTCAGAGTGTCTGTCACTCAGGCATGGAGTGCAGTGGCACATTCATGGCCACCACAGCCTTGACCTGCTGGGCTCAGGTGATCCTTCTGCCTGCCTCAGCCTTTCAAGCAGCTGGAATCACAGGCACGTGCCACCACACCCGACTAATTTTTTGATTTATTATATAGATGAGGTCTTGCCAAATGGCCCAGGCTGGTCTCGAACCCCGGGGCTCAGACAGTCTTCTCATCTCCGCTTCCCAAAATGCTGGGATTACAGATGAGAGGCCCGTATCTACTTTTAAAAGGTTTTAAAAGATGCCTGGTATCTACTTTTAAAAGGTTGATTCTTAGTAAAAGTCTGTTTTAAAAGTGATCTCACTTTCTGTTCTGTTGGTAAGCATTCTAGTTGTCTCAGGACTGTGAAATCAAGTTCTTCTGGAGAACATACTGTAAATATTAAAATTATGTGCCTTTCAGTTGTTTTATTTTGTCTTTTATTTATTCTTATTTTTATTTTTGAATTGGAGTCTTACTCTGTCACCCAGGCTAGAGTACAGTGGGACACAAGCTCACAGCTACCTCAGTGTCGACCTGCTGGGCTCTGGCGATCCTTCCGCCTCAGCCTTCCAAGTAGTCGGAACTACAGGTGTGTGCTACCATGCCCGGCTAATTTTTTTCATTTTTATTATAGAGACGAGGTCTCACCAAGTTGCCTGGGCTGGTCTCGAAACCACGGGCTCAGGCAATCCACTTGCCTCGGCCTCCCAAAATGCTGGGATTACAGGCTGAGCCACCAGCCCAGCCTATTTTGTCTTTAAAAAACAATTTTTTAAAAACTATGTCCACTCTCATCCCTCTGTGTCCCTGAGACTTGCTGCCACACAGATGGGCAGAGTAGGCTGAGAAACAGTCCAGCCTGCTTGTGGGGAGAGCTTAGCCCTGCTGTCTGCTGTGTCCTCTAGGGATCTCTCTGCTTGTGGATGAAACTTCTCTTAATGGTTTATGAGACATGTGGGGCCCTGGCGTGATGAAGCTTTTGTGAGGAGCTATCACTTGCTTCCCACAACTGTCTGCCAGCCTGTGTCTGGAGAGGGAGCTGTGGGACCTCCGTGAGTGTTCATGCCAAGTTGAACTCTGGAACCGCCTGGGTCATCCTCGTGTCTGGGCTTCTAGAAGTTTGTGAGGACTTAGCAGCAAGCTGCCTGTGATGAAACAAATGAACTCTTATTTGGGGAGAATAGTCTAATTTGCCTTTGAAATTGTGCTCTTATTTTTAAATGTTTACAGATTTTCAGAACTAAAATGATAGGTTAGTGTCTCCCTCTTTACGCATTTTGAAAGATTAAACATTCTTTTCTTACAACATTAAGAGGATATGAATAGTATTGCATGACAGCTTAGTTTCCCTTTGAATGATCTGACGTGGAGATGATTTGTACATCACAATGCTCGTGCACTCGCTCGCTCTCGCTTTCTCTCTCTCTCTCTCTGGCATTATTTACTTCCTTGAGGAGAAACACACTGGTTATTTGAGGTTCTAGATGTTTTGAAGGTTTTTCTTTTTTTTTCTTTTTTACAGATAGGGTCTTGCTTTTGCCCAGGTTGGCGTGCAGTGGTGTGATCACATGGCTCACTGCAGCCTTGACCTCCTGAGCTCAAGTGATTCTCCTGCCTCAGCCTCCCAAAGTATTGGGATTATAGGTGTGAGCTACCACACCCAGCCATTTTGAGGCATTTTAAGTGCAGAGTCCAATCTGGTGCTGAGACTATAACACAGACTACACTTCCCACATGAGAGTGCTCAGAATTGTTGTATTTTCCATATTTTGTGTCTTTACCATGATTTTTTAAAAATGTAAGCAGTGTGACCACTCCCCAAATTTAGAACTATGGTCAGTACTCAAGGGGCTACAGTACTCTGCCAGCCTGAACTGATGCATGCATTTCATCATTTTCTAAGTGACTTTGGAGATTTTATCCCATAAAATGCACAAAATTGAATAATCTCTTGGAGTGAGAGTAACTGTTCTTATTAACTAGACCACAAATATCTCTGGAAGGTTTGTGCAGACACAGACTGCTGGGTTCACCCCTGAGTGACCCTGGAATTTGCCTTTCTCACTAGTTCCCATAGTGCTGGTGCTTGGTGGCGTGGGGCTGCTCTCTGAGAATCACTGAGCTGAACTTACTGGGGTGGGGCTTGTGCAGCTTGCTGTTGGGCCTGACTCCTGACAGCCATTGTGCTAAATGGTTTTGAATGCCATGGGTTCAAGTGATACAGCTCGGGAGAGTCTGAGGAAGAGATGTTGGGGGTCTGATTGCTCTCACTTTCTCCTATGGGGAAAGGGAGGAAAAAGATCGTGTAGCTTTCTTAGAAAAAGTTAATTGTCCATTTGCATAGTAGCAAGAATAATGGAATGTGTTAGGACATAATTTACTTGTGATGTGTTTGATTTTATACTTTGTTTTTATACTTTGAGTAGTTTTAGGTAGAGAAAAGCTTGTTTAGGACTCTAACAATGTTTGGATGGGCTTCACTGGTATATTTGTCCTGGTTAGGACATCTTGAGGGTGAGTTTTGCTTGGGGACAAGTAAATTATGGTCTTTGCTTTTGTGTAGCTGTTCAGCGAGAATTAGCTGAGTGTCTGCTGCATGCCAGGTGCTGTGCTCACAGTGTGCTGACACGTGGGTGGAGGCCCTGGTCTTTAGGCCCTTTCCCAGTATCTTGTGTGTCTGTCCCTGCTGTCCATCTTTGCAGGCCCGTACCCCGCCCCAAAGCACTGTCCTCAGCTCACCCAGAGCTCACTGTTCATGTCATATGCAGTTTATGTTTGAAATTACAAATCCCACCAAAAACACTTAAGATAACCCTTAACATCCATTATTTTAGCTTTAAAACATAAGGTGAATTTATGTTCAAGGGCGTCCATGGTGGTGGTAAACAAGTACAGTAATGTTATAACCAGCCATAATGTAAATTCATAGGTAATTTGTAAGCAGTTGCATCAGGTATTCTAAAGATGTCAAATGCAAGGAAAAGTATATAAATACATACCTGTATTTCTTTAAATATAGAGCTATGAAATTTATTTTAAATTTTGGTTTCTAAGTAGAGAAATACTGCCTTCAAAGTTTATTTAACTAATGACAAAATTTTTTGACCCACTGTTAATATGGAAAGAGAAAATAGATTGTGTATTTGCATCTTGGATCTCTTAGCAATGAGCTCCGAGTGTCTCTTCCAAGCATCCCTCAGGGTGATGTGTCTGATGTGAGCCTTGAGCTCGCCCTGAAACCCATCAGACTGACGGCAGAGCCTCTCCGCTCCCAGACAAGCCACTTTTTTAATGTGCAAGTGTAACAACACTGAGTTTACTGTGGTCCTTGAAGACAAGCATTTTTGTGTGAAAGATGTACATAAGCTGTGCTGTTTTTTTCCTGGGCACAAAACAGAGACAGACGCAGGACTCACCCCGCATAAAGGCCTGGGTGGATGGCCCAGTCTGAGTGAGATGAAGGCCCAGGGTAACAGGCTTTGAGGAACGGCTTCACTTGCTTCCAGTTTCTGGTTGATTGATGTGCTGATCCGTTTGTCCTTGCATGTCTGTGTCCGGTTGCAGCATGAAGCGCGCCAGCTCTCTGAATGTTCTTAACGAGGGTGGCAAAGCCGCTGAAGACCGTGTCCAAGTAAGGAGCCTATCCCGCCATGTCCCGGGCTGCCCAGACTGCGTGGCAGGTCTGTTGCAGATGAACGCTTGGCCCACAGCACTATGGACACATCAGCGATTCTGTGACTAGACAGACAGTCCTGACAGTAGTGTCTTGATACTCTCCATAACTGTTGAGTATGTGAATTAGGGGAGTGTTCATACTGTGAACATCCTCAGCGTATTAATTAATGATCTAATAATGATCTTAAAAAATAGTTTGATATAATTAATTTATTTTGTTAAGGTAATTTCAAAGCTTGATCAGTTATTAGTTTGTGTGACTAACTTTTATGATGTTAGTCTCTAAGACGTTTATAACTAATTGTCTAGTTAAGTTGTTGTTCAACGTTCCATGTTTTAAAACTTTTCAAAGCTTTACTAACATGATTACTCACATGTCACTTTTACACTAAGATCTTGAGCACTTGGTCAAACTGTCCAAGTCTCACACATACATGTCACACTTTGTTTCATCTTCACATCTAAAAGTGTTGGCATCCCCACTCCATCACAAAGGCCTTTCTAGTTTTTATTCCTTCCAACCTCTGGTGTGGCTGTTGGGTGTGGCCAGGCCCCTGGGGGCTGTAGAACTTGCCTGTTTCTCAGGAGTTTTGAGCTTGCCTAGCATCTCCAGCTGCTGGGACCTGGCCGTCACTGCCCCTGTGCTGCACTTAGAACCTGTGACAGTGGCTGGGCTTCCTGGGCTTACCGCCTGGCAGCAATGCTCTCCCAACCTCCCACATCCAGCTAGTAAAATGTTGGCTAATCCTCGCCAAACTTTGGGAGCCAGCACCCAAGGAACACTTGCCACCAGGCATATGGGGGCAACTAGAGGCTGGTAGGATACTGTGAAGTTTGCATGACACATCCCCAGCAGTGAGAGGAAAAACCCGAAGGCCTGTAATTTATACACAGACATGGAGTTTGTGGTGCCTCCGGGTGCATGGGGGCCCCTGGCTCTCGCATGCTGACTCAGGGTTATGCAGCTAGTTAGTACTGTCAGGCCTGAGATCACTTGAAGTTGGTATCATTTCAAGTACTGGTTAAGTATAATTTTTCCATTTGTTTTTTTCATGCAGGAACGAAATAATTGTCTGGCAGACTCGAGAGCTCTGAGTGCCAGCCACACTGACCTGGCCCACTGAGGTCAGGCAGCCTAGATAAGCCCTGAGAGACCCGCCCAGCTGGCCCCGTCTGCACCACCCTGGCCGGAGGCGCCAGGCCGCTCTCCTTGGCTCCCTTTCCTAGATAATGACGTCCATCAGCCTCTGGAGGTGCCTTTTAAAAAGACCCGGGCAGCTGTGCCCCAGAACTCTGTCACCCAGCCTCAGTCCTAGTGCTGTGAGACTGACCCAGCCGGGCTGGCCCAGGGAGGTGGATGTGGCACCCGCAGGCAGCTTCAGCGCGGTCGGGACTGGCCACTACTCATGGACGCCGTTGCACTTCCTACCTGCCAGCTTTTTGCCATGACACCAAAGCCTATTTTAAATTTTAATATTGTAATAAGGCTGCAAATGAAGAATCTGGAAATGTAAACGACATCCTTTTAGGATGACAGGCATTTAGTGATCTTAGCAGTAAAGCCTAGAACTTGGAGGACAGTGGTTGGCAAAAAGTGGGGAGAAAGAAGTCACCTCTGGTCAGGGACTCCGCTTCTTCAGGGCCTCTGCTCCCCAAGCCGCAGTGTCTGTGGCTGGACGCTCGCGGCCTGGGATCTGCTGGATGCTGAGGTCCCATGCCCACCCCTTTTGAGTAAGTGTTCTCACTCCTGTGGAGGCTCCTGTATGCTAAGCACATAGAGACATGCATTTTATTTTTAAAAAGCTTTTTCTTTATAGTATAACATGGGATGGATTTTGGCAGGAACATTTTCAAATCAACCTGAAGGCATTATTTCTGAAGGTCATCTGCAAGGCTAACCCGTAGGCTAAGAGCATACAAAACAGGTGACCAGGTGAACAGTAATTCTACCCTAGACTTCTGAGTCGAAGGGGCAGTTGGAAAACTCTGACCATCCTTTGAAATGTCAGGCTTTCATTTTAATTGAATGAGATAGGTGACATCACAGTAAAGGCACTTATTTCTGTTGCTTCCAACCACTTGAAGCCTCTCCTCGTTGAGTTGCATGGGGCGAGGGTAGGAGCCCCTCCGTGGGGTGCGTGGCTGAGAGCTAGAGACAGAGCATCCTGGGATTTTGTTACAAGACTAGACTTGAAAATATCTTGAAAAGCTTCCTTTTATTTTGTTTCCTGTTACAGACAGCTATGTGTGGAGAGGTGTCTGTTCCCACTGAGGCTCTTGGTGCAGTTACTGGCAAGTGCTGACACTGTGCCCGAGCCAGTCACCTTTGGCCCTGGCTCCTTTCTTGGGCTTGACTCGTTTTGCAGCATTTAAATTGCAGGAATTTACTTTCAAAATCGCTCTACAGCTGTTTTTAAAGTCCCAGGAGTTGTGAGAAGCCATCCCCTCAGAAAGAAAAAAGTGTGGAGCACTTTCCCCTCACAGGTGCTGTGGCTCCTTAGAAATCACAGCATAGGAGCTTTGGGGCCACATGGCTCCTGGTGTAGTGTGTTGTGTCTGTGCGCAGATGGTGGGGTTGGGGGGTAGGGAGCTGCCCTTTCCCTCTATGGTGGAGGGGGCAGTATTTGAAGTCTGGACAGTTTCCCCTTTGACAGTTCTCTCCTGAAAGACAAAGTGCATTTAGAAAACACAAACTTGGTTTCAAGACTGAGGGCGCAGACAAGGCTGTGCAGTGGCTGTTGTGGAAGCCGACTGGGCTCCGAGCTGGCCTGGGCCTTGGGGTGCATGTGGCCTTTGCAACACTGTCTATGGGGGCAGAAGAGGGCCTCCCTGGAGCCAGGTTGTAAAGCAAACTTGGTGTTTCGGGGAAAGCTGTAGTTCCTGGTTTTTGAGTTCCCATCCCAGTAGAAGAGAAGCTGTGGCCAGCGCTGTCTTCATCTGGTAGCTACACTTCAGCATTGTGAGGAGAGAAGCCCTGGGTCCAGCTGGCCCTGTTTTCCTTTGGGGAGGGGACCCCGAATGAGAGCCAGCTCCTGTTTCTTCATAGTTGCTGTCAAATAGATGTAAGTTAAAAGCCACCCAGGCCAGCGGCAGGCAGGCAGTGGGTGGCCACCGTGTGTGCAGTGCTGGCTACAGTGACCGTCCTGCAGGCAAGTCTGTGGCCAAGGGTGGATGGCATAGGGTGGTGTGTAGGTCGTTAGCTCAGCTGCAGCAGAGGCCAGGCCTCTGGGGAGGCCCTGTGACCCGGTGCTTCCCTGAGGAAGAATGTGTGGCCCAGGGGTCCTCAGAGACCCGGGTGGTGCCTGTGGGCAGTTTGTGGGTGCTCTCATGGGGCTGACCATGGTTGATCTCATGTGTTTACCGTATTAGAAGGATTCACATAGTTATTCTCTGGAATTAAAACGATTCTGTTATTTGGACAGAAAGCTGCTAGGAAGATCATGTAATTAGAAATTCAGTGTTTATGGTAAAATATATCAAATATTACTAAGTATACAATGTATAAGAGGCTTTCTGTTGTCGTAACTTGATGAAATTTTCTGAGGAGGATGTTACACATATAAAACTGGCATCTGTGAGCTTGTATTTGCACTTCCTTTGAACTACGTGTACTCTGTGGTCAGATTTCCGAACACTGGAGGAGGCTGCAGTGGCAGGCAGGTCTCACCAGGGCCACACTTATGCACATAGCTGGGTCTGCTGTCACACATATTGTTTAGTTAGATCCCCAGCAGTGTGGGGAAGAACTTCTGTGGTTTTAAAGTTGAGAATATGGTGAGGAAATAAAGCTCAGGGGCAGGCAGATCTGCCAGGGCCATGCAGATGATCCCTGTGGGAGGACCTCAGAGGTGAAAGTTCCCTGGGGCCTGAGGTGCCCAGGTTATGGCTCCTTCTGCTCTGCCTTCCTAACGAGGGAGTCAGTAGTGTTCCTGGTCTGTGTCCTGATCCTCAAGGTGTGCTGCTGCTGGGATCTTGAAGCCCGTTCCTACGTGGGCCTCCAGAAGTATTTCTATTAAAGGTACCGTTGTCTTGGAGCTGAAGTTTTATTTCCTAATTGTTGGCATGGCTTGCCTAAAAAAAGCATTTGTTTATATTTAATTACAAAAATAAAAGTTTCACTTCCTGTTGTTAAGACCCTACCCTCTTGCAGGAAGGTTGTTTCATAAAAATCCAACCCCAAAGTAACCTTTTCCTGTCTTTATGTCAGTGATTCTTAACCTTTATAGGGTCAGAGAGCCTTGACAATCTAATAGAAGTTTTAAGTGGGTTGTGCTGCCCTAGAAAAATGCACAAACAGGAAGTCTGCATAGTACAGGGGTTTACAGACCCTGGCCCTCACCGCCTCTTCCTCCCACGAAGGGGACACCCACAGGCTCACCGTGGGCGCAGGGGGTGTCTGCCTCAGGGTCATGGGAGAACAGTCGCCTATGATAGTAGTGCCTATCTTGCATAAATATTATACTTAGAGCAGGGCCTGGCAAATAGCAAGAATCAGGTCCTGCCATTTCATCCTCTTAGCACATTTATTTGTCAAAGACCTACTAGGTGCCAGGCAGCATGTGGAGGCATGAGTGGGGTAAGTGGGGATCAAGATGGCCACAGCCCTGCCCATGTGGAGGCCACGCTACTCAGTGACCACTGGGCAGATTCCAGCATCTACAGCCAGGAGGTCCCACTCACTTTCTTTTTTTTTTGAGTTGGAGTCTCACTCTGTCGCCTAGACTGGAGTGGAGTGGCACGCTCCCGGCCACCGCAGCCTTGACCTGCTGGGCTCTGGTGATCCTTCCGCCT